GAGCATGTTTGGTGTGAGAGGGATTCGAACCCGCGACCCTCAGATTGCGAGTCGAGTGCCTTAACCACCTGGCCATGCCGGGCCCAAGACGTATGCATGTGTATAACTCTGTAGTAATATGACCCGTACAACACCATATATCAGACTTTCCAGTTGCATGGTACAAGTCAACCAAACTAACTAGGTGGGAAATAAATAATTGCTAAACTAGCGTACATTTACATCCGTAAGAAGGGTTTATATATATATATGATTTTCTTACAAACCTGTCAGGTTTAACATGTCTGCGCAGATGAGCTCACAAACTAAACGTTAATGGTTAGCAGTCGATTCCAGTCACGTACTTCACGTTACAACCTCATCACGTTAAGTATTCAAAATCTGTTTAATAAGCACTGTTGGTGATGACGTTTCTATTGCTGAGTTAATTAATTAAACCTTGTTTAAGTTCCCGTCACTTTTTTTTTTCTGTTTTGGGTTTTGTGTTTTTGAACAACTCTCATGTCTTGATAAACATTTTTTACAAGAAATGAAAATCTTAAAGAAATACGTGAGGAACTGAATAAAGAACAATTATTAAATAGTATCATTTCCATCGGACAGGTACGTAGAATAAATATGGGAATGTACAGTATCTAAAGCAGTTCGAATCCTATACTGTTACACTTCGGCTTCAACAGTTCCAACATCGTTACACACTGATTATAGCGATTCCCATTTATCAACTACAGCGAATCCAGCACCGCTACAGAGAATCCACCACACATTGACTTCAGCGAATCCATCACCGCCACAGAGTCTATAGAGAATCCACCTCTACTACACATTGACTTCAGCGAATCCATCACCGCCACAGAGTCTATAGAGAATCCACCTCTACTACACATTGACTTCAGCGAATCCATCACCGCCACAGAGATCCACCACTACCACACATCGTTTTCAGCGTATCCAATACCTCCAAACATTGACTTCAGCGAATCCATCACCGCCACATATTTGACTCCAAGCTTTTGTTAGTAAAGTGATTCTGCTCTCTCCTGAATTTTGTGAGACGATTTTTACATTTCTTCTCTCTCACCATCCTAGTAATGCTCGTGGCTGTCGGTACCACGATTGTCAGAATACTGGAAGAAACTTGAGCTGAACACGAAAGTGTTTCATCTATCCAAAATGTCTTAATTCCGTTTATTTTCCGTTACTCATCTGCTCAACTAACATTTGTTGACACGGAATCCTAGCCAATAAGCTCGATTTTTTTTTAAAAACGTAAATGTTGTCCAGCAACGTGAAAAGAAAGCAATGTCTGTAACAATTTCTAAAGATAAAATATCAACGAGTGTTTTTTTGAGGTCTCTACTTCTGAAATGAACGACCTCGTTTTGTGTTTCCCGTTATTTTAACCTCGAACCAGCAAGGCTTTGTTAAGTGTTCGGAACATACAGCGCGCTCACCCGGAGCCTTGAAGCAACTCTAAGTAAAGTTCTGACTGGAAAAACCGGAGATAAGCATCACGTTCCATCAGTCCTTGGACCTTTCTCTGAGCCTGATCGAAGGAATGGTGATCAGGCTTGGACAGACTGTTCATAATAGTTGTTCTTGTAGTAGAATCAAGGTTGACCTGAAGCAATAACATCTGGTTAGTTATAAACACAGTGTATATTTTATTGTTTCCTTAGAAATTATTTAATGTTAAATAAATCGCAATTAATACTTACACCATTTAACTGTTATGAGTCAACAGTAGTTTGTTGTTACAAAGTACACTATAATACTAAACTGTTTATTGCTAAACAGATCACAGTTAATACTTACACCATTTAACTGTTATGAGTCAACAGTAGTTTGTTGTTACAAAGTACACAATAACACTAAACTGATTTATTGCTAAACAGATCACAGTTAATACTTACACCATTTAACTGTTATGAGTCAACAGTAGTTTGTTGTTACAAAGTACACAATAATACTAAAGTCTACTCTAATTAGTGCTACTTGAATTTCCCTCGACTAATTTTACACAACGTGTATTATCTTAAAAGTCGATCTTTTTTCATGGTTCTTACCTCTTTCGGTGCTTGTACTGCAATAAAATCATTGTAAATTTTTCTTGCTTTGGATGGCAATTTGTTTGTTTTAGTTTTCTTGAAATCCTCGCAGGCAAGCCAGAATTCGATGTTTTCTTCACTGAATTCCCTGGACAAGAAGGCCCTGAAGAGCGCGGAGCCGTCTGAAACAGTAAGAAATGCTAGTCATTTGAAATTTCCTTCTACTTGTATTCATGGACGCCCGCAGGAAGGGGCATTTGCCCCCCTTACATTTCACAAAAAAAATTCGCGTATTATGTTGTAAACTTAACATCGTAGTTAAACTACATATTTTAAGTGATTTTTATTAAAACTATAAATTTGTGTTTGCGTTTAAGCACACATAACACATATTATGTTAGTTTGTTGCCTTACACTGTAAAAGCTGATCCCCTACATACATGTTTCCCCCTCCTCCCGAAAATATTTCTGTGGGCGCCCATGTTTCTACTGACACAACACAGATTAATCTAACCAAAACTGCCACAAAATACTCAAGTATCAAATAAAAACAGAAATGATAATTAAATCATACAATAATATTACGAAAAAGTATAAGGAAGAAGTCCCAGCATGACTATTATTAATGGAAAAGTATAAGGAAGAAGTACCAGCATCTTCTTCCTTATACTTTTCCATTAATAACAGTCATGCTGGTACTTCTTCCTTATACTTTTCCATTAATAACAGTCATGCTGGTACTTCTTCCTTATACTTTTCCATTAATAACAGTCATGCTGGTGCTTCTTCCTTATACTTTTCCATTAATAACAGTCCACCAGCATGATTGTTATTAATGGAAAAGTATAAGGAAGAAGTCCCAGCATGACTGTTATTAATGGAAAAGTATAAGGAAGAAGTACCAGCACGACTGTTATTAATGGAAAAGCGTCATCATGTTGGGAAAGACAAGTAATTCATTGGTATTCAAGATGGTGAAAAAATGCGTATGGTAAAAAAGACGATAAATCATATAAAAAATAAACCTTAGCATCTTCGACAGGTGTCTCTGTCTTCATCAGGGGCAGTCTTTGCCATTCGTGAAGACAGGTTCACCGGTCGAAACTGTTAGTGTTTCAAAGTTGTTTGTATATATATGTATGGTATCCCTTGTTGTAATTATCAAACCAAGTCTTAATAAGAGTATGTGATAGTTTTAGCAATAATGGATATACTGCTCAATAAGTTTGTAGTCGCTTAATAGGTTCCTTATGTACTTTTTTTCGCCTAACAATACAATGTTTTTCTAACAAGTTTTTCAAAATAGAAGAGGCCCTTATCTATTATTCTCAACTTAATTTAATTAATTTGCGATGCGAATTAAACAAAAGTAAGCCTATTTATTGGATACTATTTTGAAATAAATGATAATTGGTCTAAATAATCTGTTTGTAAGATGGAAAAAATAATGCTCAGACGCACACACACATATTAAAAGTTTAATTTTATCCATGTATTAAAGGCATATAGAACCGGTCATTAACTCCAATTTCCAATGGCCCAAGCGGATGTTTTCCTGATAACCATGGACAGGTGCCAGTTCATCGCAGGTTAACTCTGAGCTACTAGTTGGGTAGACTGAGTCTTACTTAAGGACTGTAAAGACACGAAGACTATGTGCAAGTGAGCTTCGTAAACGCAACCGTTCGATTACCAGTGCAAAAAAAAAAAAAAGCATTAACCACTAAGACACGCCGTTCCACACAAGTATGCAACTTGTAAAGCATGGATAGTTGGATGAAAGTTTTCAGATAACCTTCTTTTTTTTCACTACAAATTGAAGTATGAGGAACTTTTTCCAGTTTGTGGGTTTCAAGAAAATGACCTCGATACGCATCATTAAAAGAAAATAAATATAATTATTTATAACGAGAGTCTGCGTCTGTTATCATCTTTATCTTATCCTTTAAATTTATAATGAGATATCAAACAGACAGAGAAATCCACAACTTTGTCATAACAACCATAATGTTTCATGCTTACATTTACTAGCCATGAGTTCGTGAAAGGATTCTGTCCACTTCTCTGCTTCCTCAGGCGAGGGTCTTACCGTAGACTGAATGGAGCTCTCAGTGTGTCTTCGGCGGAGGAAACCAAGCTTGAGTTTCATGTCCTGTGCCCTGAAGAAAAAAACAATATATATATATATATATAAAAGCTAAGATAAAAACAGATAAAACTGAGAAAAAGCATTCGAGAATTAAAGGTAGCATCAAACAGTCAACTGAGAGAAAATTAATATCCGCTAACTAATGGGATTTTTCCAAACACCCGCTTTTAGGATTTATACTCTCCAATCTAGGCCTACCTGTAACATAAGGAAGTTGTAAACAATATTCTGAACATGGTCTACCGAAAGACGAAATCACACATGTGGACACTAACTGTTTATTTTCTTTTATAGATAACTGTGACGAATATAAACCTTTATTTATAGAAAAAATAATTTGGAAAATAAACTTAATTAGGGTTTCTAATTTTAATTATTAAAGCAATTCCATAGAATTTAAGTACAAGTAAAGCGTAGGAATTCACTATCTTTACTCTGTTCGTGATGATTGGGTGTAATTTATGACGTTTCATTAAACTAGAGCCTGCAATTATTGTCTAATTTAGATAGGTATTTAAATGAAATGACTACAGAAATAATTATTTTCTATTAAATATACTTTAGACACGATTCTCATTTTCTGTTACTAACTATACATTGCTTTCAAGAGGTAATTCTATACGCTTGCTCTCTTTTCCCTTTTATTACGCTTAGGAAATCTTTCCTTATTTTTTCTTGACTTATCTTTCATCATCATCATTACTCAGGGCTGGCGCCATTGTGGGAGGGCCTTGACCGCCTATTTTCAGATTAATTTATATAAACAAATTAATTTCAAATACAAATTAAATCTAAACTTATATTAAAGCTAAAAATAATAATGATGATTATAATTATAAGTAGCTGAGACGTAAAGACCCTCCAGGGCACAGCGGAATGTCTGCGGACTTATAGCGCTAGAAACCGGGTTTTGATACCTGTGCTGGGCAGAGCACTGATAGCCTTATGTGTAGCTTTGCGCTTAACAACAACAACAGACGTAAAGGTTTCTAGAGCATTACAAATAATTCCAATAATAATAATAATAATTCGGGAAACTACATTCGTGTGGATGTTTTATAATAACACGCTGTCGTGATTTACTATTAAATGTGCAGTAACGTGTAATAGTAGTGAACACTTCTTTTAAGTACCCTACACCCACGCCTAGCGCACATACTGACGTCATCACTACATGTGAAGGCAGTATAAGACCTACCTGTAGCATTATAATTATTTGATTTGTAGAAAACGAAGTATTTCTGATTGGTAAGTTATATAGGCCCTTAGTGACTCAGCGAGTAAGTCTGAAGGCTTATGACGCTAAAACCCGGGTTTCTATACCCATGGTGGGCACAGAACAGATAGCCCATTGTGTAGCTTTGTGCTTATCAACAAACAACAAAATATATAAGAAAAACTTTTCACAAAAGAAAGTAAACGTAGAGATGGCTAATATCAATCCTTCAAAAACAATGCAAACAAGATAGTAGAGACGGCATTTGTATCATCCCTACATAATAGTACAGGTACACAATGTAGTAGAATGTTAAGAGACAAAAATAGGATAAATTAAACTCAACTGTGATTAAATAGTTATATATGTATTGATATATATTAATTCTTGCCTTCTTCGTGACAAATCAGTATGTAGAACACACCATCTAACATTAAAAGTTCATGTTCTACATAATGACTTGTACTGAAAACCAACGGATAAACCACAATCCTTACATAATCAAAGCTGCCACCAAACACAATATCACATTCAATCAAGTACTTAGATTAAGGAAGATATTCTCTGACTGTAAGAACTATGACCGTCACATGAATTCTTTGGAACATACTATGACTGAAAGAGGTTATAAACAAAACACTATCACCCAACAACTTGACAAAGCTAACAATACACCACGTGAATCTGCCTTGAAACAATTACCTAAAACAAATTCATCTCGTGTTCCATTGGTGTATTACCTATCACCCAAAATGAAAAAAAAACACTTTTACCTCCTTCAACTTAATGATCGACTAAAATCCATTTTTACAGAAGTTCCTGTCGTTTCTTTCAGGAAAAATAGAACTTTGCATTTAGATCTTAGTTTATGCTAAAGTCAACGACTTAGTTCATGCTAAAGTCAACTTTAAGTCGACACCAGATGGAAGTCATCCTCACAATAGCAAGCGATGCCAAGCCTATAAGTTCATGCAGGAAACGGACAAGTTTTCCAATAAAGACAACTAAAAGCAGTTCAAATCACTAAACCTGTAACCTGCTCTAGAAAAAACGTTATTTACTTAATCCAAAGCTAACTCATATTGAACATCCGGTTTACGTGACGTTGACATCAGTGCTTATATATTTCATTACATTCATTAAACATGAACCTTTGTTCTCCTGAAGAAGAATAGTGAACTATTTGAAAACCATTATTGTTTATTTATTATTGGCTGATAATCCCTGTACTTAAGCTTTTTAAAGGAACACCAAATGTCTGTAGGAAAGCTAACTTCAAGGGGTAATGATAACATCGTTTACACTAGAATTATTATTTTTAAATTACCACTAGTTATTAATAATACTTATAAAAGTGGATACTCCTTTGAAACTATGTTACCTCAGTTAAATTGGTTGACACAATTGTTTATTTTTTGAGTTATCATGTAATAAAAAAGAAGCAGAAGAAAGAAGAACAAGAAATTCAAACTTTTTGTTGTGATATTTATAGATATTCCAGAACTTGTGACTCAGTCATTATATAGATATTGTTATAAAAGGAAACACCGTATAGTATTGTAAAGTTCTGATGACCTATTGAGGAGATATTTAAAGTACCATTTCCATTAATAATCCCAGCCATCCATACATAGGCAGTGCTACCGCCTGCCTGTTGGGATTGGTAAGTCAAGCAGAATGATAAAAACTAGGGTGTTCGGTAACTCGTAATTAAGGCATGTCACTAAATCCAACTTCACGTCAATAGTTGAAATTCATTGCTACTCAGAAAATATACGTTGGAAAGAATTTTTTTGATAACTACTGTATTTTCGTAACGAATGAATATGTGTTTTATATAGTCCAAGAGTTAGAGTTATTGTAGAACAGTATATTACTTGACGAGATTGATGTAACAAAATATTTAATTTTTACATTTTGTATCCTGATTAACATTCATGAGGTCGTTATTTTGAATACATAGACCAGAATGACAGGAATCTCAGATATTTTTTATCTACTTGGATCAGCGTGCTGTCTTATTTCAAATTATCGTATCTTATAGCGAGCACAATTAACCCATTCTTTTGCTCTTTTATATTGTTTTTCTCTATATATTTGATGCTTTTCTCATGTGCAAGGATTTACTTACGCACGCGAAAAGCAGCCTATAAGAGTAAATATATTATGTAGTTAGCATGATAAGTCAGGCATTCTGTATTTATTGGGACATTTTAATGGATAATTCTGCTGCTATCACGAACTTTTTACATTGGCATAAGTCACTC